TCATTGTGCATGTGGGAGTGTGTACGTGTTTCGTTTGTTTTGGAAAAGGGGGTCCCTTGAAAGCACACTGTGATAGTCACTGGTGATTTTGTGAATGTCAAAGTACTGGGGGCTATTTGTCCTCTTCTGACTCCCAGAGGTCTGAGCGGGGGGAGCAAGCAGGCACAGAACAAACGTGAAGCACACGAGGCCTTGCTCTGCACATCCCTCAGACAGGCCCCCTGCCAAAGGGCCTCTGAATGCCCGTCACTTGGAGCGGCTACAGGAAAACACGCTGGAAACCCAGGTTGGTTAACGTGGGTTCAGAACTGATCTGCAAACCGCACATAAAGGAAAGCAGTGCAGATAACACCATCACGGAATCAAGAACACCTCAGCAGGGTCATCTTCATGAATGAAAACATGTCATCATTCCCCAGCCTTTGGGAATAAGAGCCAGAACACTTGTCACAACCCCAGAGTGGTTGAAGCTGTTGTCAAAGTCCCATGTGCCAGGGAAGTGTATTCCTAGACCGAGAGGGCAGGCTCCTCCAGAATCCAACTGAGGCACGTTGTTTGTGAAATAATCCATGTTTTTTCATAAATCCTTTCAATATAAGCACTCGATTAGATACTTTGCTGCTAATTGTTGAATGAAAATTTCGACTACTCTCTGAAAATTCTGACCTTTGGACCCACTTGCCTAGCCAATTAGTGAAACTTTTGCCAGGTTTCGGAATTGGGCTCTCATGTTAAGAGGATAATGCCACATAAGAAGTATACAATAAACTGTCATCTGAAATTGGAACCCAACTGAGCCACCTCTTTGCCATTTACATCTTATTATTGGGTAACCTCTTGGCTGCTCTTCAGAAAAAGTGTGATTTTCATGTCTCATTGGGAAACGGGGTAGAGAATTTTCCATTTCAACGGTCAAGGTGCCCTCTAGCCCCTTCACGTGTGATCACTCTGCATTCACCGCGATCTCGCTCTTCAGCTCCCGGGACCCTTTCCCCAGAGGACATGCTCTCTCATCCATTTCTGCTGTGAACCGACTCTCCATCCACGGGAACAATGCAGGGAAGGCGAGCTGAAGGGCCCTTCCACATCACGTCCCGTGTCCTTCCCATCAGAGCCCAGGGCACGCAGGACTCGCAATCTTTTGCATTAGAGAGCGGGTCAGCAGCCCGGGCTTGATAGGAAGGTAAGGAGAGATCACACTCCGAGAAGACTTGAATCCTTTTCTGAAATATCTGGACCGTTGCTTGGCATTTCATCTTGTCGGGGCCGTCGAGTCTGTTCCAATCCACAGCTACGCTTTGAGCAACAGAGTAAAACAGGGCCCGTCTGGCACCATCTACTCAGTTGTTCCTCTGCTTGAGCCTCGTCTTGCGTCCACTGTATCAATCCATCTTGTTGGGGGTCTTCCTCTTTCAGTGCTGCCTCTCTCTTTGCCCATCCTGATGTCCTTCTCCAGGGGCTGGACTCAGAAATAATAACCGCCGTTTCGTAGAGACCTAAGTGCTTGTGCTACTAAAACAATCGAACAAAAACAACCAAATGCATGTCACAGAGTTGCTCTTGACCATGGCATGTCCACTTGTTACCGAGCAGCGCTGTCCCACAGGGTTGTCTTGGCTGTCATCTTGACGAAGCATACTGTCAGGCATCTCTCCCATGGCACTGCTGGGTGGGTCTGAACCACCAACCTTTAGGGTAGCAGTGGAGTGCAAATTATTTGATCCACCAAGGGAACTTCCTGGTGTTATATTTGGCACAAAACCAATTTCACCTAATTTGATTCTCACAGACTAAACTATAGGTTATCTTTACCTATACAGATAAGCAAGCAGAGGTTCAGAGAAGAGATGGTATTAAATAATTATTGGTGCTTGGATTCAAACCTACGTTGCCAGACTGAAATCTGTGATCCTATCTACCAGATCCAATGCCCTTTCAAATGGGAACCACAGACGGGTTTTAACCAGAGGGGGAAACTGTGTAAGAAGTGTGTGACAGAGAAGGTCAGGGGTGCCTTTCGCCATCTGGCCCACTTGTCTTGTGTGTCTCCAGGCTCTGGAGCCAAGGAGAGATCCTTGGTATCAAGTCACCGCTCTGAGTTTACAGATATCTTGTATTAGCACGGACTAGAACATCAGAGGGAGGAGCCAGCTCAGTGCAATGGAAAGGTACTGAACTTGCCAATTCACACACCCAGGTTGTTCCAGAACTGGCTCTGCTCTCGGCTGCGAGTGTGGAACAGTCATAAAGCCTCTGGAAACCCATTTCTCTACGTTGAAACAGGATGGAAGTGGAAACAGAAATCAAGCGGCGGAAACACTTTACACATCCTAAAGGTCTGGGGAAATGAGGAGGCCATTCTCCTCATGTGTGTGACGCTCGTCTCTGGAGCAAGCACCCTCTCCAGGAGCTGTCGATAAGGTATGATCAAGCTCATCCGTTTGGGCGAAGAATCTCAAATTCTGCACTTTGCCCTTGTCTCTGCTTAGCTGGTGCCAACCCTTCCTGGTTGATTTTACATCTGTATTTCTTTAGGCCATCCAGTCGACATAAATCCTGTTAGCCTGCCTTCTTTCTTACCCTGTGCCGAGCACCAGCTACATGCTGCACGGTGTGTATCGGCCTTTCCTTCT